TTTTATTCTTAAACATGCCATGCAAAGGAAAACTATTTTAAGAACATTTTTGTAGCCAATTTTTAAAAAAAAGTTTAAAATTTATTTTGTGTTGAGATACAATGAACACACCACAAAACTCACCCTTTCTGTGGCACACAATTCAGAGACGTCCAGCACATTCACAAAGTTGCGAAACCATCACCAGGATCTGAGTCCAGGGCATTTTCCTCACTCACCCAGAATAAAACCCATACCCATGGGCAGTAAATGCCCTGCCCTCTTACCCCATTTCCCGGCAACCACTGCCCAATTTCTATCTCCATGAGTTTTGTCTGTTCTGGGAATTCCAAGTAAATGAACTTATAGAGTCTCCTTTTGTATCTGACTTCTTTCATGTCAAGTATTCTTAAGGTTAATCCATATTGCAGAATGTCTCAGTAATTCACTCCTTTTAAGGCTCAGTAATATTCTATCAGAAGGGTATACCACATTTTGTTTATCCAATTGACAGACATATGAATTATTTCCACCATTTAATACATAAATAATACTGTTGTTTTTAGTGTGGGCACATGGTTTCAGTTCTCTTGGGTACATACCTAGGACTTGAATTGTTGAGTCATCTGGTAACTTTAACTTTTTGAAGAACTGCCAAATTATTTTCCAAACTGGCTGGACCCTTTTAAATTCTCACCTGTAATGCATGAAAGTTCCAGGTTCTCCACATGCTTGCCAACACTCGTTATTTCCATGGTTTTGGTTATAGTCATCCAAGCAAGGAAGCAACCCCTCATTGTGGCTCTGATTTGCATTTTCCTAATGACTAATAATTTTGAGCATTTTTTCTTGTGCTTATTAGCCATCTGATTATCTTCTTTTGGGGAAATGTCTATTCAAATTCTTTAACTATTTTTTAATTGCACTATGGGTGATTTGATTGTTGAATTTTAAGTGTTGTTTGCATGCCATCATACCAACATATTAGTCAATATGGGATTCCAAATATTTTAGCTCATTCTGTGAGCTCTTTTCACTTCACTGATAGCGTCCTGTTGAGTGCAAACTTTTACATTTTGACAAAGTCCAATGTTTCTAATTTTGTTTGTCTCTTGTGTTTTTTGTGTCATCTAAGAAGGCATTGTCAAATTCAAGGTTAAGAATGTGTTTTCTTCAGAGTTCTATGGTTTTAGCCCCTCTGTTAGCTCTTTGATTCATTTTTGGTTTTGTCTGCGGTGTAAGGGCTCAGCCTCATTCTTGGGCATGTGGGTGTCCAGTTCTCTCAGCACTATTTGTTGAAAAGACTGCTGTTTCCCCATTGAACAGCCTTGGCACCCTTGTCAAAAGTCAGTCACCTATGGTTGTATGCGTTTATTTCTGGGATCTCAATTCTGTTTCATTGATTCTATCCTTATGCCAGAAATACGCTGTCTTGATGACTGTAGTTTTCGTAGGTTTTGAAATCAAGAAGAATTCAACATACTCTGGTCGTTCCAGATCCCTTACGTACCCCATGCACATTTTAGTTTAATTCCTATGTGCTTGTTAATTTCTGCAAAATAAAAACAGAGGAAGTGGGAGGCACTGTAATTCGATAGGAATTCTGCAGAATCTGTAGGTCATCTTGGAGTGTAATGCCTTCTTAGTATCTTGTCTCCATCCATAAACATGGATGTCTTTCCATTTAAGTCTTCTTTGATTTCTTTCAAGGATGTTTTGTACAATTAGGTATACCAGTCTTGTACTACTTTTGTTAAATTCATACCTAAGTATGATATTATTTTGATGCTTCTCCATATGGATTGTTTCTGAATTTCATGTCAGAGTTCACTGCTGGGGAGAGGAATAAAATTGGTTTCTGTATTTTTCATACTGCAAGCTTGGCCTAAGAGTTGCTTCTTTATTAGCTCTATATAATTTTTGTGGATTTCTTAGGATTTTGTGTATTCAAGATGATGTCATCTGTGAGTAGATGGAGTGCTGCTGCTTCCTTCCCAGCCTCGGTGTCTTTGACTTGCTTTTATTGCTTGATCGCCGTGGCTGGGACGTCCAGCACAATGATGAACAGAAGTGATTGGAGTGGACACCCTGTCGTCTCCCTGATGTTAGGGGAAAGCTGTCAACTTTTAATGACGGGTTGAGCAACCCAAATCTGCGAAGAAAAGCAGTAGAATCAGATTTTCTCCTTATGTTCAAATCCTTTTAAGTCTGCCTTTGTACAGTGAGGCCTTTCTCTACCAAATAAAATATGAAATGTATAGACATGCTTTTGGCTTTTTTAGCATGAACTATTAAGAAATACTTCCTTACACAAAAAAGGATCCTAATTAGTACTCTAAGGTCATCTGAAAACAAGTGCTCCCAAATCCGACCCTTAAAGGAGATGCTCATTGGAGCATTTTGCATTTGGCTTTTCAGATTTGGGGTACTCCGTTGGTTAGTTAGCAAATATTCCACAATCTGAAAAATACCCAAATCTGAAACTCTTCTGGTCTCAAGCATTTCGGATAAGGGATTCTCAACCCGAATCAGGTATGAGGTTCACTGTGGGTTCATGTGTTTTATGGACTGCCTTTCAGCAGGTTAGGTATTTTCCTTACATTCCTACAGCCTTGGGATTTTCATGAAAATTTTTTAAATTTTGTCAAATTATTTTTCTGTTTCCATTGAGGTGGTCATGTACTTTTTGTTCTTTGTCTTATAAACATGGTATATATACTGATTTATTTTTGTACGTTGAGACGACCTTGCATTCCTGAGGCAAACCATGTGGTCACGGTGTGTGTGTGCTGCTGACTTTGGTTTGCTAGAATTCTGCGAAGGATTTTCGTGGATGTATTATATAGACACAGTACTTACTCATATCACACACAGATTCATCAGTATTATTTGGGTCTGCAGTTTTTTCTCTCCCAATGTTCTTTTCTGTTATTTCTGTCAGGATAACACTGGCCTCACAAAATGAGTTGCAAAGTTTTACCTCCTTTTCTATTTTTTAAAAGAATCTGTGAAGGATCAGAGCCATTTCTTCTTTAAATGTTTGATAGAATTCACAGGGAAGTCATCTTGTCTCATCTAGGTAAGATTTTGTGATTGAAACTCCGTTCTTAAACACTCCACACATTGTTGCAGGCCTTGCTTACTTTCCAGAATTCTGAAAAAAGTTAATTTGTATTACTTTTTTTTAGTGTTCTAATTGCTTTCATGAAGGAGGGGATTTTTGGAGGTACTTCACAATTCCCAAAGACAGTACTGATAAAGTTGGTGTAAAAGAAAATGCACATTCTAGATCAGCGATTGCACGTCAGGTGCCAGGACATCGTGTCAATGTTTCTCCAGGTACGGACCTGGAATAAGCACTGGGATTGAAATGGTTTTATCTGACAACCTGTGTTCACGATCCAAGACCCACTCACCAGCCACTCAGGCTAAAGAGGCAGGTGAGGAGGGGGCGGAAGGAGCCCCCCCTGCACCTCTCATGTCTGAGCAGGGCCCCATCTCTGCAGCCCCCCAGGACACAGGAGCACTCTGGCTTTACTCTGGTGAGCAGTGGGGATCCAGGGACCTCTGTGGTCCTGCCTGGGGGATTCTCCTCTCTGCACCTGGGGGAGGAAGATGGGGGCTCTGGCTGCTGCTGGTGTGTCTGTCACAGTTACATTTTCAGGCACTGAGAGCTTAAGTTCTCAGTACCTGAATTCTGCTCAAAAACAGCTGACATGTATTTGAAAGCATTTTCTATGGTAAAACTTTTTCAATTTTTCATGCCATCATAGGAGCGTCTCCTTAATCCCCGTCTTCTGTTGTGGAGGCCCCCTGGTCCTGTGAAGCTCGTGGAAGGCAAGAAGGAGGGGGTGCTCTGTGCAGCCCCGGCGGGGGTAGAGCGAGTCAGCCTCGCAAATGCAGCACAGACCTGTGGGGCTTCGTGACCATGGCCTGTACCCAGTGACAGTGTGCACTGCTCATGAGGGCTCCAAATGTCCATCAGCCCCTACACTTGGGGAGAAGCAACACTTCAAACCAAGTTTTCACAAAATATTACAGGAAACACAATATTTTTCAAAGAAAGGAAAATGAAGATTGTGGGAATGCTTCAATACAATGTGGGCACAGTTAGATGAATAACTAGCTTTCTCCAGCTGATTTCATAAAAGCTCCCTGGGGCCTTCTCAACCTCTGTCTTGCTTGTTTTAACTTGGGGCAGTGCCAATTGCCAGCTACAGAGACACTGTGTTACCCCAGGAACAGTTTACCGATGAACCAGATGGTCACAAGACCAAGTCACCTGAGATTCTGAGACAGAAATAACAAAACATCAACTTCAATAACTACCTACTCAGGACTTTTTAACTTCTGCATGGTTCTAAAGGAAAACCCATATGAGGGCATGAAAAATTGAAACAGTTCACCAGCCTTCCGCACTTCTCCCCGAGGTGGACAGACAGGGTGGTGGCCAGAGGATGGAGACCAGGCTTCCCCACCTCTCCCCGAGGTGGACAGACAGGGTGATGGCCAGAGGACGGAGGCCAGGCTTCCCCACTTCTCCCCGAGGTGGACACACAGGGTGGTGGCCAGAGGACGGAGGCCAGGCTTCCCCACCTGTCCTCGAGGTGGACACACAGGGTAGGTACCCAGAGGACAGGTCTTTTCCGAGCTGGCTTTATGGGACCTTAACAGGGGCCCCGTGTGATGATTCGTTGATCAGAGATTTGAAATTAAGTGCGGGATAGAGGGTAGTGGGTGAACCTCCTACCCGCTGTTCTCCTGGTTTGCACACTAAGAAGGCATAGACCTTGCACCCTGGTTTTGGAAATTCTAAGAAATGGACCTCCACATCCTGGAACTGAGGCCAGAATCATGGATTTCGAGATTTTCCTGGTGGTCCTGGTGAGCACAGGATTGCAGCTGAAAGTCCAACACGCGCAGGGCATTGTGACAGCCAGCAACGCACGCTGGGGTCGCAGCCCGAAGCAGATCCAACCTCTGAAAAGGAGGCACGACACAGCCAGAGGCGCTTCAAACACTTGGGAGTGGAGCTGCCTGCGGTCCTGTGCCAGGACAGCAAGGAAAGTCATGAGAGCCCCGGGGAGCGACAAGTGAACACGCAGCAAAAGACAGGAGCGTTTTATCGCTACAAAGAAAACCCACATAATCACCCAAGAGTTTAGGGAAATAAATTTACTATTATGTATCATTCAGGTATTGCAGCTGCAAATAAAAATACATTTCATTATTAAGAATGTGTCGTTCTACTGCTCTTCAACCTTAGTTTGAAAAAGAGAAAGCAGAAACCTTTGTGAAGTCAGCATGAGTCAGGGCACAGCTGAGAGGCTGGAACCATCAGTACTGGTCTCGGTGACATTAGAAGAAAACAGAGCAGAGAGCGTGCGCGGTTAACTCCGGAGTGTTGCTCCACGTGGATTTTCAGTTTCACAGCTGAAGACTGGCAGTTAGTACCAGACATTTCCATATTCATCACGAACATTTGAATAGGAAAAACTAAACAAAAGCAATGCAAACAAACCAAAAAATAAAAATCTCAACAGAGGAGTAACACTTTGCATTGGCCAGCAGACAGCAAGGCAGACAGGCTGTTGATTTTTGGCCCCTTGGCTATGGCTCGCAAAAAGACCTAAAAATTCAACAGACACAGTCAAGAGGAAGCTTGGTTCTGTGGAAACCAATAGCAATGACTATAGGCAGCCTGTGTGTGTAGACCAAGTGAAGCTGCAGGTCCTACTGTGACAGAGAACTCAGAACTTGAGCAAGTTTCCCTTCCAAAACTCACAGTCGCTAAGCAGGTTAAACGTCCACGTAAAATCACATCAGGGCATGGGAAACTAACCCAGATTATAAAGCTGTCTAACTCACGGTCATGTGAAGGGCATGAAGGAGGGTAAAGGACAATGTCTCGGGACGAGGCCCCAGGCCCTCCGAGGGGGCATCTGTGCAGCCTGACTGCCTTGAAGCCTGTTGCATTTGCAAAGGTCATTTCTGGCCATGGAGAGCCCTGGTGAAGCTCCGAGTCACTGCAGTGAAGTGTTGCCCCTCGTTCCCGCTCAGACGAAGTGCCCCTTCTGGGTCCCCCGCGCTGTGTTCTGCACGCTGAGCTCGTGTCGGAGCACTGCCTCGCTGGTGCCGTGGCTCTCTGGTGGCGCCTCTTTGGGTGTGTACAAGTTCTTCTGCTGATACAGGCAGACAGCAACGGCAGCCAGACAGAGCAGGAAGAACATCACAACGGCAATCACACCTGAGGCAGCAAAAGGGAACCCCGGAGTCAGGATGTGCACGCTGGCACCGTGCCCAGCACGCACAAGGCTGACTGCACTGCCCAGAGCCAAAGCAAAATCACTGTGCATTCACCAAGCCTATGCTTTATTGTAAACTGGAAACATCACAATTTCAGGGATTCTAGGTCAGGTAGAATCCTAACATTTAGTTGACTTTTCAGTTCTAGCAATCTGCTGGGTGTAGCGTTGTTTTATGCATTTACTCTGTGAGTCTTACGAGAGTAATTGGAAGCTTCCAGAAGAAAACACACGTTTGTCTCCCAGGTCCCATGCACTGCGTGCTCACAAGCAGAGACTCACATAGCTTTTAGAGTACAGGATGCACCACATCATGCCTTCAGGACTGCTTTTCAATAACCTGGGCAGGGCATAGTGAGTCATCGCAATATGTGATTGAACCTGTTCACACGTGAGTCAGTCTGCACAGATGTGGACATCCTCGAATGGTTCCTGCTGCTAAGTTTACTGTAGGAATATATGAACTATGGGAGTTTATGGGATCTAAGTTATTTGAAATTGTCTGATTAAAACCAATGCCACACCTGTAATCCCAGCACTTTGGGAGGCCGAGGCAGGTGGATCACGAGGTCAGCAGTTCGAGACCAGCCTGGCCAACATGGTGAAACCCTGTCTCTACTAAAAATATAAAATTAGCTGGCCGTGGTGGCACCTGCCTGTAATCCCAGTTACTCCAGAGGCTGAGGCAGGAGAATCGCTTGAACCCAGGAGGCGGAGGTTGCAGTGAGCCGAGATCGCGCTACTGCACTTCAGCCTGGGTGACAGAGCGAGACTCCGTCCCACAACAAAGAAACAAATAAACAAAACCCAATGCCTGTGGGTCTCAATCTTGCAGCACAGTCACCTCCAATCACTGCGGAGTCTCCCCTCGTCTCGCCAGCTATGGGTTCGCCCTCATCCACCGGACCAGGATATTCTGCAGGGGAAAAGCAGGGTGGGCAATGGTGAGACATTCTCGGGAACCTGGAATTTGTGTCGTTTCAACTTTAAAATTGTCAGCCACAGTGAGACTGGATATCATCCGTCAATTTTAAAATATGTGGGCAAGACAGTGGAAGGCTGAGGTTTCAGGAGCCGCCGGCGTCTCCCCGGGCCTCCGGCCTCTCACCTGAGCCCCCCGCCCGGGGCTCCTGTCTGGGCCCGCAGTGCCCACCTGCTCGAGCGTGCGTGCGTTCCCGCGCCGCGTCCTCCCCGGCTCCACAGCTCGACCTGGCCACGGGGCCCCGCACCGAGGCGCGCCCGGAGCGCCCTGGAAGCAGCGCAGCCTTCAGCGGGGCCACGCGCTGGAACTGCAGCGCCGAGAGGCAGCCGGAGAAGCCCCGCGCGCCGGCCCGTGCAGTCTCCGCGTCCACGTGGTCGCCGGGCTCTGCGGGACAGAGGGAGAGGTTAGCAGGCGCGTGTGCGTGGGGGCGCGTGCGTGGGCCTTGGGTACCCGGGTGCAAAACAAGGGTGCCTGGACAGCGGCTGAACACCAGAGCAACAGCTTCAGCCTTTACCCTCTCCCAAAAAATAATTATCAGTTAATCACCAAATAAACTGAATACCAACAATAGCAAGGAAATAAAGCAATCTGTGAAAAAATTCCTAAATTTTAGATTTATAATTATGCTGCTAAAAATAAAATCATACTGTGTACAAAAATGATGGATTATACTGTTAAATTTACATCACATTAAAAATTACATTAGTGCGTATTTATTGGCCTGGTTCATGAACTAACACTAACATTATGGTTTGTGTTTTTGAACCTTAACTATTTTAGAATTTAACTAGAATTTAGTGACGTTCAGCCAACAGTCCCTCAGCCTTCTGGGTGCCGATCAGAGCACACAGTGGACCTGCGTTTACTCACAACACCCATTTCCCAGCCAGGTATCCGGGTATCCTCAGCCACTGAGGCTGAACTACGGAGAAGTAAGAGTGTGTGCCAACAGGGACCGAAAGGTCCCCTCCTCATGCGTGTCCCCCCTCCTCATCTTCCCTTGTTCATTTCTGCTCCAGTTTGGCTTTAATTGATCAGAGCAATTTCTCCAACATTTGCTTCTGGGGTGTGGTGGGGTTTTAGTTGTTGGCTGAGGACCCAAACTTGATGCCCTGAGGAGCATCACGCCATCTTCCTTTGTCATCACAGCATCTTCATCATCACGCCACCTTCCGTCATCATCATGCCACCTTCTGTCCTCATTTCGCCACCTTCCTTCACAATAATGCCATTCCCTCCACTGTTGTGGAGATGTCTTGTGTCAGTCTGATGTTTTATCTTCATAATGTTTTGTTTCTGCATGACAATCCGTATGGCTTCCTCTATGTGGAGTTTACACATTTATCAGCTGTGCTCAGGCATTTCCATGAATGCCACCTGGGACTCCTGGATCCCCTGTACTCCGTACACATTGAGGTCTCAGTCAGCCCTGGTGCTGTCACAACACACAGACCAGGTGACTTAAACAACATACATTCATTTCTTACAGATCTGGTGGCTGGAAGTCTGAGGATGAGATGTGGGCAGATTCGGTGTCTGGCAAGGGCTCCCTTCCTGGAGTGTGGACGGCAGCCTTCCTCTTGTATCCTCAGATGCCCAAGAACAGAGGAGGAAGAAGGGAGAACTCCTCTGTTTTCCTAAAAGGGCACTAATGCCAATCAGGAAACCTAATCACCTCCTCAAGGTCTCACCTCCAAACCTCAACCCTATTTATCGCTTCACCTTGGAAGTTCCCCTCATTTCAGAAGAGTTGATTTATTAGAACTCATGTTTGTTCCTTCACAGAATTAACAGAGTCCTAATGGCACAGAATTCTTCAGCCTCAGGAGAAGCTGCAGGACCCAACCAGGGTGTGGTGCTTTATGAGCATCCCTATTTGAGGCATGTATTCCTGAAAAGAGTTAAAGCTGGAAGAGTTTAGGTTTAAAGGAAGCTCACTCTGTGGCCATTGTACAGAATGAGAGAAGGCAACCAGAACAGGCACCAGTGACTGAGACCCTCCCAAGTGGTGACACAAACATGCATTTCAGTCGGACCATGACCCTGGGCTAATCTGTTCTCACACTGCTAATAAAGACATACCTGAGACTGGGTGATTTATAAAGGAGAGAGGTCTAATGGACTCACAGTTCCACATGGCTGGAGAGGCCTCACCATCATGGCAGAAGGCAAGGGAGGAGCAAAGGCAGGTCTTACATGGCAGCAGGTAAGAGAGAGTGTGCAGGGGAACTGCTCTTTATAAACCCATCAGATCTCATGAGATTTATTCACTGTCATGAGAACAGCATGAGAAAATCCACCCCCATGATTCAATTACTTCCCACTGGGTCCCCTCTCATGCACTGCAGGCTCTGGGAGGGAGGGCAGGGGTCCTTGGCAGGGATACTGGCTGTGAAATCCACATGGGAGATGCTCACAAGGGCCAGCCTAGGGAAGAAATGGAGCTCAAACCACGGATCCCAGGAAGGAGTGCCGGCCTCCAACCTCTATGTAGAACACATCCCTGAAAATGACTGACTCTTTTCTCAGCAGACCTCAGCAGGCTTAGGTGAGGAGGCACTTCATGCACCCCTCTAACCTGGGACATAAGGCTGGAGTTTTATTTGGCTTACAAAATGGTTTGGAGGTTTATTAGGCTTATGGCAGAACACATCTTAAAATAAAACTATCAAAACATGAGAAGTGTCATTAGAACTTGGTCAAAATCCATGCCCTAGCTGTATGGTAAATGAATTTTATTTAAAATTTCATGAAATCCAATTGCCTCAAGCTATAAAATTTACAGTTCAACTTTAACTTCAAGCTTACATTTTCAAGTCTGAATAATACACCAGTGAATATAAAACTCTTGCATAAAAATATCAATACATTCAAAGTCAGTCTAATGTTCTTTACTCATTTAATTGGAGGGAATACAGGTATATATAAAATTAATTTTATACTTGCATTTTCATTCATTCGTTACACTCATATGTGGTTCATTTTCTTTGTCTGTTACACAACATATTGCCCATTACTTCGCAGAGGTGTTTCGTCCATCACTTTGACATGAAATTTGAATCTAAGTTGTATTTCTTAAGAAATCCTCCTGTGAACTTTTTAAATAAGGTGCAATGCTGCTTACCTTTGTGAAGCTGTGTATGTGTTTTATCTTACTGCTTAGACTGTGGCGTCTGTGAGGTCAGGGATTTGTTCATGTTTAAGCCACACCATTCATCATTTACTGAACTGAGAAGCACTTAATCAATATGTGTGTCTCAATGAATGATCAGCCAACTTCCTGGAGAAAGTCTCTTCTGAAATTCCCAGAACACCTCTAGTCAGTGAAAAGGCAGCCTGGCCTGTGGGTGCAGAGCTGGGACACACCTGTGACTCCCAGGTGTGGGGCAGAGGGAAGAGCTTGGCAGAGGACAAAATTGGGCTATGTCTGCTGGGCTTGGGTTCCTTTCTGGGGAGACCACCCTCCCGTTCCTCCTGGAGGTGCCCCCACTGCAGGATCTAAGGTGTCCCAGTGGCCCCATAGCTGGAGTGTCCAGGGAGCAGGGGAGGCTGAGACAATACTATGGCTTTTGATTTTTTTAGGACTTTTCAAAAATTTTCTGTGCCATAATTTCAAAGATGGAATAAAATAGATGCCATTATTAGAGATAAAATGAAAATCATGTAAGATGAAACAACATAGCCAGAGTTGTAAATGGGGCCCTGCTTCTCACTGCACAAAAGACTGTGAGTGATAAATATCTCCCCACCAGGTACACACCTGGGATGCCCTGACATGTCCCCGCCCAGACCTTGGCCCCGTTCCACGCCTGCTTTAGCTCTCGGTGACTGAAAGGCCTCTCAGTTCTGACCTCCAGAGGTGGCTCTGCCCATGGCCGGGCTGCTGCTGGTGAGGGCAGGGCCCTGGGCTCCATGTCCATCCCACTGGGGGGTCCTGGGCTCCATATGCACCACATCAGGGGGTCCTGGGCTCCATGTCCACCACATCAGGGGGCCCTGGGCTCCGTGTTCATCACATTGGGGGGCCCTGGGCTCCATGTTCATCACATCCGGGGTCCCTGGGCTCTGTGTCCACTGCATTGGGGGGCCCTGGGCTTTGTGTCCTCTGCATCAGGGGGTCCTGGGCTCCGTGTCCACTGCACTGGGGGGCCCTGGGCTTTGTGTCCTCTGCATCAGGGGGTCCTAGGCTCTGTGTCCACTGCATTGGGGGGCCCTGGACTCCGTGTTCATCACATCAGGGGGGCCCTGGGCTCCGTGTCCATCACATCGGGGGTCCCTGGGCTCTGCGTCTGTCACATCGGGGGTGGTCCTGAGCTCTGTGTCCACTGCATCGGGAGGTCGTGGGCAGGTTCTCACTCACTCTGCTGCATGCATGGGTCAAGGGCATCATCCTTGCCTGGATGACTAAGCAGACCCTGACTGGACTCCGCAGCTCCCATCCCACTGCAGCGGCCAGGGCAGCCTCACAATGAAAGTCCTTGCCCTTCAATGGCCCCACATTTAACAGGAATAAAGTCCGTGTCCCTATAGTGGTCTTAATGCCCGTAAGGCCTGCGTGATCTGCATCCCGCGTCACTCCCTCGAGCCCCGCTGGTCGGTCTCCTGCTCCTGAGTCCTTGGGTCACACGCCCAGGCTTGGGGAGCTCACCTCTCACCCCCTCGCGACACCACGTGGTCGACCCTGGGGATGGTGCTCCACGCTCACTTCTGTGTGACATGATCCTGCCCCCGGACAGGAGCTCCTCGAGGGTCCTTGCCTGCTTGTCCACTGACATAGCCCCACCACCCAGGACACTGGCAGGTATTGGCTGATCAATCGAATTAGTTGAGCTGTCAATATGGAATACAACCCCCCCCTGTTTCGTTTGTGCTGCTGTTGCCATTTTCTCAAGGGAGGGTTGGGCCACTGCGTGTCCAAGTGCGGCTTAAGAATAAAACTTGTAATCACAGGACAGGATTCAGTGTGCAATCCGTGCATGTGTTACTAAATTATCAGGGGCCGGAGTTTTAATCAAACTCTAAAGCATGTTCTCAAAGCAGATTCAACACTTTAAATCAACTTTGTTATTCCATGTTTTTCCTGAAAGCAACTAATCACTGTAGCAGTCATCGGAGCTGTGTGTGTGTATGTGTGTGTGTGTGTGTGACATCACAAGACCCACTTTGAATATTCAATTAGGCAACATAGAAGCAATGCCTTTCACATACTTTTCCTCTACCCAACAAGGCAACCTGGTGGAGCGTGGCAGGTCATGACTGTCCCCAACCGAAGAATGGGAATGTCTCGCTTCAATGCCCCACGTGGTGTTTGAAAATACACGGGCATTAATAGAGTTGGAAACCTCGTTATCATGCTTTTCAGAGATTGTATCGGCTGCCCAAGTGTCTCCTCATACACTTGGGATTTTCAGCTTATGTCTGAGGAAGAATATGAATGAATAAGAATATAGGTACAAATAACTGAAAAGATTAAAACATCATTGTCTTAGACAAAATGTATCACACTAGTGCCAACATAAGACCAGAAGTATGAAACAAGCCTCAAAACTATCCTCCGCAGAGTGATACGTAAGTATCCATGATGTTTATAGCTCATTAATTTTTTAAAAAAGCAAACTTTAAGACGATGTGCCGGCCTTTTCACTGTGCGGCGTGGAAACGGGAAGGGAGCTGTGGCGTGTGACCCGCTGTGGCCCCGCCTCCCTGTCCTGCACTACACCCACGTCACTGGCAGTGTGATGAGACTCAGGCCATTCAGAAATGCCTGCACTTGCCAGCAAAGCCCAGTGGGGCCTGCGCCACTGGCCTGAACTTCAGGGCAGCAAACACATGGTTTCTAAATTTCTCCTCTCAAATGTCATCCAGGCAGGGTTTCTGAATCTGCACTGTTTGATCTGTGACCTGTGAACTGCATGCCTGCCTTGATCACTGTTTTTCTTTGGTGTATGAGAAAATCACTGCAGCCCCTTGTGCTTGGCTGCCAGAGAGAGAAGCGTGGAGCTCCTCACCCGTCGCCTTGGAAGCATTTCTCCTGCAGCCCCTCACGACTGTGTGCGCACGAAGACACAAGTACAATCTCTGCCTTGACTGACACCAGTGGTGTAACTGACATGAAACGAGGGCCCGGCCTGTGCACTGGTGACCAGCCCCGTGTATTGGTGACCAGCCCCGTGCATTGGTGGCCAGCCCCCTGTATTGGTGACCAGCCCCTTGTATTGGTGACCCGCCCTGTGTACTGGTGACCGGCCCCGTGCATTGGTGACCGACCCCGTGCATTGGTGACCAGCCCTGTGTATTGGTGACCAGCCCTGTGTATTGGTGAACAGCCCGTGCATTGGTGACCGGCCCCGTGTATTGGTGACCGGTCCTGTGTATTGGTGACCAGCCCCGTTCATTGGTGACCAGCCCGTGCACTGGTGGCCAGCCCCGTGCATTGGTGACCAGCCCGTGCACTGGTGACCAGCCCTGTGTATTGGTGACCAGCCCTGTGTATTGGTGACCAGCCCCGTGCATTGGTGACCAGCCCGTGCACTGGTGACCAGCCCTGTGCATTGGTGACCAGCCCTGTGTATTGGTGACCAGCCCGTGCATTGGTGACCAGCCCTGTGACCCGGGGTTGGGGGGTATCTACTTGCCTAAAATCCTGCCCAGCACCAGGGATTTGATGGCTTTGAATGCTGTACCCGATGACAGACTCACTTGTCTCCAAGTTTTCTGGTTCACCTGCGTGGGAGAAACAAACACCAGATGTTCTGATTCACCAGGGATAAGGCAGGAAGTGAAGGAAGAGAATAAAGCAAAACTGATGAAAAGCCTGTGGTGCCCCGTGGAGACAGAACCGCCCCGGGAGTTCAGGACCCTGATGGGCACCGGCTCCACAGTTTTCATCTCGCAGACGCCCTTCCCCGCAGCCCCTTCTCTCCCATTTTCCCCACAGCCCTAGCTATTTCCATACAACGCAAACCACCAGGAATCTACAGAATCCACGAAAAGATGCAAAAGCCCAGGGTGTTGGGTTCAAGACCAGAACTTTTACAAATCTCAAAATAAAGCCAGAAATATGAAGCCAAATGATGCTTTCCATGTAGACAGAAAATATGCCAAAACTCCCTTCAAAATCCTGACAGTGCACAATTTCACTCGCTCTGCAGCAAATCAACTCTACTTTGTTAGAACAAAAATGGAATCATCATCATTTTCTGTATAAGCTGTCTCTTTAAATTATTATAACATTTGTACCCATGGATTCCCACTGGAGAATTATTTAAAAACATACACACACACACACACACACACACACAAAACTTCCAGCCATGCACGGTGGCTCACGGCTGTAACCCCAGCACTTGGGGAGCCTGAGGTGGGTGGATCACGAGGTCGGGAGTTCGCTACCAACCTGACCAACATAGCAAAACCCTGTCTCTACTAAAAATACAAAAATTAGCTGGGCATGGTGGCACATGCCTGTAATCCCAGCTACAAGGGAGGCTGAGACAGGAGAATCACTTGAACCCAGGAGGCGGAGGCTGCAGTGAGCTGAGATCGCACCACTGCACTCCAGCCTGGGTGACAGAGCGAGACTCCACCTCAAAAAACAAAATGGAACAAAACAACAACAACGACAATAACAAAAACTTCTAGTAATTTACCGTGAGAAAACAGGCATTTCCCTAGTTAGTAAATTAAATAAGGAGACACGTGAGTAGGCATAATTTTATACTGCAAGTGGCAGATTTCCATTGCTAAAAAATAAAAAATACCAGACACAGTTTTGACTTTTTGCCCATGACACCTGAGAATAAAACGGAAAAGGGACCAGCACTGGGCTTCATTACGAAAATCCTGCCGTAGGTGATGCCGCGAGCGGGACTTATGCCAGGAATGAGCCGTTACCTCCACAAAGACCACCCCTTCTTCTCTGCTGATGTTCACGTGGTAAAGTTTCCCATCTGCCATGTTCCTGAAATTCAAGTTAACGACATCAGGGTCTTGATGTGTGTCCAGCTTGTACCTGATCTGCAAACTCCCTAAAGGGGAAAATAGAACGTTTTTGAAACAACAAGATATTTTTACAGCTGCCTTTCCACACTCCAGAGAAGTTGTTACTACTCCTGTGCTTCCAGAGGAATGTTTTGCAGATGGAGTCTGTTTAGGGTTCCGCTGGGATGCACCCCTGCGTTCCCAGTCCTCGCTCTCCCCAGAAAGGCGTTGCCTCCTGGTGCCGCTGGGGGCCACCGCTGCTCACATCGTGCTATTTTAAGGTCAAGGCAAAGTTGCTGTTAACAAGAACTCTCTTTCCTACAACGCTTAATTTTCTAAAAGTGAACACCTGAATTGCACACATGCTGGAGTCTAAAGCCCGTGCCACTTTTGCAAAAAGAACATGATATTAGGGAATGCTGAAGTTGCAACTTTGTGAAACATTGTCATTCTCTGTTTGTCTGTTCCCGTCTCCTTTATGCGCACATCCAAGATTCTGAAAGGTGAATAAGAGACACGCACAGCCGGCCCTGAAACATGCGTTATTGTGAGGGTGCTGAGTTCCTGAGGGGCTGTGATGAGTCCAGCTGGTGGTGGCCACGGATTAAATGCTGGCCTAGACTCCATCCTTGTTGCCTCTTTACTGGTTAAGAAGGCGACCACTTTCCAGGTTCCTTCCAGCCTGGGGACGAAATGTTCCTACTGCATTGGAGGTTCCAGCCATACGTCCTTTGGATGCCAGAACCCCGGGGCTGCGCTTGAAACGGCAGCATGTTGGTTTGACACTCAGTAGATTTCAGTTCCAAAGTCACATCGGGAACCAGGACGTGGGGATGTGAGTGCTGTGGTATGTTTTTGCCAGGAGGCAAGGTCTCTGTGGATCCACAGCTCCTGACAGCTTTACCTGCTTCAAGAGATTCAGACCTGTGTTCTGATGGCCACAGGGGAGGTACTAAAATTCTGTTAGCCAGACATTTTTGTAAGTTCCTCCAGATATTAAATCAGCACCCTGACATTCCAGTTCAGATGCTTAAAGCTGGGCCTTATTTCCCGCCGTGGAAACGCAGGAGCTGGTTGACGCTTGTGATTTTGTACTTTCATTATCGAGTGGATGGGGCCGGGCCCACCACAGGACCCTGGACAGGGCAGGACACTACTGCTCAGGACACCTGCCTTGCCAGGCTCCCGCCACCTCAATTCTTCTCCTCTTTCCTTAGAAGAAGGTGAAAATATTTTCCACATATAACCGGACACCTTATACTTCTAATGAAGACCTTCCAGGGATAATAAGAGTTCTCTTTACATGAGATATGTAAATTTATCAAAAACTTTACAGAAGGATCTTACACAATTACTGAAATGACACTGTTGCAACAATGTTTGTATAGTCCCACAAAATAAAACACATACAAGCAAAATGACATTTGGAGAACACATAATTTTTTCCTCATTTGTAATTTGAGAGGCATTAAACATGCCGTCATATTACAGTTGTAATAATTTACTTTTCTGACACCAAAATGACACTCACCGTTTTTGGCAAGGATGACAGAAAGGTACTCCTTGTAGAAAGAGTCCACATAAAGCAGCAGGCTCGGGGCTTGCACTGTTCGGAAGCTGAATGCGATTGTCTCTTGGGTCAACGTCGTCTCTCCCTGGAATGAGGCAGCGTGGGAGCTGGCATTCGTACTTGGGGAATGATATTCCTGAAAATTGTAAGTCACCGAGGAGCCAGTTCCAAAATACGCAGAAATCTCTGAAATAATACGCACATTTTAAGTTGTTAAAGACTAAAGGCTCATTGCAAGTATACCTATTTTTAGAACATTTGAATAAATAGAAGAGTAGAAATTGGCCTAACAAATGCTCATATATCTCGGAAATGACTATCACAGTTGACCGTTGCAGACTTCAGGACAGTCCTTATTAAGTCTCAGTGTTAAAATCACACAGGCTTATCCTTCTGGGCAATGTTACCATTTCAAGCTCAACGCGCTCCTGTTTGGTTTCAGGCGAAAGCCAGGCTTCCTGGCCATCACCTGCCGGGTCTTCAGTTTCCTTCCTTAAATCTCCCTCCATGTGAGGCTTTGCTTTGCAGGTGTCAGTCTTCTCCAGCAGTGACAAAGGAAGGAGCTCAGAGGGCCCCTTGCCCTTCAAAGACCCAGGGACAAATGTCCAGTTATTTCAGTCTGACTTACTTGACGACCCGCAATTAAAATTAGGATAATGGCAGGTAAAATAGTTCACACAGTCTCGATTTCTTGGGCATCTGTGGTGCTAGTATGAGTTAGTTTTGTTGTCAGTATTGGGGAAATAATATATAGGGCCAGGGAACTAATTAGGGAAATAATTACAAGAGCGTGGTCACGGAAAGTGAGCAGTTCTTCTATAATAGGGATGTGGCATCTTGAAGGCCTAATTGAGCAGGATAAGCAAGTAAGACATATGGGACGTAACCTATAAATTGACAAAGTTATGCAATAATTTTACTAATATCTTATTGAGAGAGTCATAGAGGTTATGGGATTGGCTTGAAACCAGTTTCTGGGGTTTCAATTCCTTCCTTTGTCCTTCGGGCTTTCACACAGGTGAGCTCTTCGAATGTGAGCTGAGGGCAATACCACGAATTTGGGAGAGGAAAGTGGTCATCTGCGCGTCCAGGCACCAGACGGCCATGCAGCTGTTCCTACGTCAGTTCATGAAAGGGTGTTTTTGGCATTAAGTGACATGACCCCAGATGCAGTGTGTGTACGTGGGGACAGGAGGGCACTGGTGGTTCCATCACTGCACTGGCTATTATCTCTCTGGCTATAGCAGGTTCCTACCTGGCGGGCAGGGTCATTGAGTGACCTCCCCCAAACCCACCCCCAGGTCACACCGGTCACTTCTTCATTGTCCACAATACAATGAAAACATTCTGACTGCACTGAACAGAGGCAGATATGGAACCATTAAAAAGTGAGATCTGTGCTCATGTGGAAGGGACAAAACACCTTTTCGTTGACTTTAGTGGGACATAATTAGTACAATAAACACACCCAAGTAGAGGAAAATAGGAAGAGATTTAGGAGATGTATCCACCCATGAAATTACTGCCACGACCAGTATCAGAACATCCCCAAGTTTCCCCTCTGTGCTCTTGGCAGTGACTCCTTCCAGAAGCCCGTGCCCAGGCCTCACAGATTTGCTTTCTGTGACTCTACACTGATTGGCATTTTCTGGATTTCTTGTAAATGGAATCACACATTGGGAGCTCCCTGTTTCTTTTTGCCTGACGTCTTTCACTGAATGTGAGGATTTTACATTGATCCGTGTTGTGGAAGAGTAGGACCTGACTGGACCAGGCACAGATCCGCTCGCCCCTTCAATCTTCCTAATGTTCACATTGCTTCCAGGTTTGGAGATGAATCAATCTGCCGTAGGCCATTGTGTGCAACTTCAGGGACCTCTACATTTTCACTTGTGTTGTATGAACACTTAAGAATCACAGCAGAATCATTGATGTTTCAGAAACTGCCCAGGAGTTCTCCAAAGTCACTAACGTTTACCCTCCTACCAAGTGTGCGCTGGAATTCCAGTTCCTCTGCATCAGTTCCTATACTTGGCAGTGTCAGTCTTCACAATTGTAGCCATTCAAGTGCTTGTGCAGTGGTATCTAAATATGGGTTTAACCTGCATTTCCCTCATGATGATGACGCTGAGCACTGCTCGGGTGCCCATTTGCATCTGGAGCTCTTCTCTGGTGGAGTTATGATTGTGAAAGTTACTCATATATTCTGGACCTAAGTCTTTCAGTAGATACCCATTATGTGAGTACTTTAATCGTTCTATCATAGTAGTTTTTTAATGAGTGAAAGTCATTAACTTTGATACAATTCAATTTTTTTGATTCATGGTTTTTTTTTGTATTCTAAGAAACTTTCCTACCTCAGGGTGACAATTATGTTCTCCTTGGTTTTCTACTAGAGTTTTTATAAATTTAGCTTTTACATTTGTGTCTACTACCCATTTCAAGTAAATATTTGTAGTGGTATGGGTTAAGGGCTACGTTATGTATATTTTTCCCATTTGGCTATCCTGTTGTTCCAGAACTATAGCTTAAAACACTCCCCTTTTCCCCTTTGAATGCCCTTAACACTTTATGAAGAATCAATTGAATATCTGTGTCTACGTCTATATCTATATCTGTATATACATGTACGTATCTTCTGTCTCTTCTTTTTAAAAAAATGCCTTGCAAAATCATGATCCCATGCATTTCCATTTAAAATTAGAATTAGCTGGACAATTAGGCTAAAATTTTGTTTGGAACACTCAGTTTATAGATCAGCTTGGGAAGAAATGATACAGTAATAACACTGAGTCTTCCAGTTCATCCACACGTTACATTCCTCATTTGCTTAGACGTTCATTTATTTTAGCAGTTTCCACTGTAGAGGACTTATACTTATTTTGTTCCATTTATCTGTAAATATACCTTTTACCATATTTTAAATAGACTTTTATTTTGAAAATTGTCCCATTGTTGTAATAGTAATAGAAATTCAATTAATTTTTGTATATTATTTTCTGTGACTTTTAGTTGTAGTAGGTTTTTGTAAATTCCTTATGACTTTCTATTTAGATGATTATATGTCCTATGACTAAAGAGAATTTTATGTTTTCTTTCCAATGTGTGGCTTTTTATTGTTTTTCTTGTCTTATTGCACTGGCTAAGACTTGCAGCATGTTGAAAAGATGTGGTGGGAATAGAGATCTTTGCTTTTTTCTCCATTTTAGGGGAAACCATTCTTTCTTTCACCAGGAAGCATTTTAGTAAAAGGATGTTAGATGTAGTTAGAAAACTTGCCTTATATTCCTAGTTGTCATACTGTACTTTGTCAAATGTGCTTTCCACTAATATTGAAATTATTATCTATTTTATAGCTTTTATTCTGTTAATATAATGACTGTCCTTATTTTTGAAAATTAAAACAGCATTGCACTTCTGATATTAATACCACTTGATTGGGGTGTTATTTTTTTCACATTATTTGATTTGCTTTGCTAATATTTTGTTAAGCATTTTCATGCCAGTATTTATGAAGAATATTTCTATGGTTTTTTTGTTTTGTTTTGTTTCTTGTAGAGTTTTTATTAGATTTTAGCATCAGATCTTTAGTTGGCTTAGAAATGGTGCTGGAGCATATCCTCTCCTCCTTTCTATGCTTAAACAGCTTGTGTCAGACTGATATTGTTGTTTTCTTAAATATTCTCTAGAAATTAATAGTTAATTATCTGAACCTGAGATTTTTATGCTGAGAAGGTCTTCACTTAGAAATTTAATTATTCGTGGTTACAAGTTATTCATTCTTTGTGGGTCAGTTTTATAATTTGTGCTTTTAAAGGAATGTGCCCATTTAATCTAAGTCGTGACATTTATTGTCATGATGCTGTCCATGATATTCCATGGTTATTTTGGAGTCTGTAGCCTCTGCCTTGACATCATATCTTTTTTCCTGACATTTGCAATTTGTGTCCTCTTTCCCTTTTTCTTTTTCCTGAGTGTCTTCATAGAAATTTATCAATCTTATTTATCTCCTCCATGAACCAGCTTTAAATTATAGGGATCTCTTCCTTTGTCTATATTCTATTTCATTTATGTCTACTCCATCTGTTTTTTCTCTTTTAATTTTTTTGGGTTTATTTTGGTTTTCTTTCTCTAAATTCCTAAATTAGAAACTTATATTATGAAGTTTGCACGTGCATACTTTTGTAAAAGAATAATTTGAAGTCATAAATTTTCCTCTAAATACTGCTGTAGATGTTAGCAGTCAAATTTTGATGTGGTGTATTTTTATTATTGGTCCATTTAACTATTTTCTAATTTCATTTATGAGCTCTTTGACGCATGGATTGTTTAGAATTAAATTATTTAATTATTGATGTGGTCACACAAGACTCCAAGGCTCTCTTCACTTTCCCTCAGAATCTTTCCTTTCTAGTCTTCAGTTGGGGGATTCTTATTGCCCTGTCTTCAAGTTCACCGATTCTTTCTTCTGTTGAGCCCACAGGAATACACAACTGGTTCTTCAATTTCAGTAATTGTATCTTTCAGCTACTACATTTCCATCTGTTTTCAAAAATGGTTTCCATTGCTCTGTTGGAGTTCCACATCAGCTTATTCATTGACGGTGTATTTTCTTTATTTCTCTGAACTTCATTTTCTTGGAGTAATATATAATATCTATTCAGTGTCTTTGCTGAAACAGTGAGAAAAATGGGCCATTCAGAGTCAGTTCTCAGTAACCACATCTTCCCCATGTATGTGGAGTATAATTTCTTGATTGTCCGCATGTGTGGTGTGTATTACTGAAAGCTGGACACTGCAGAAGCCTCGCTGCAAATGCCCTTCTTTCTTGCCCTTGCTGCCTCTGCATCTTTGCCCTGCTGTTGGCCTGGTGGGTGGTTCACATGCCCGGATACCGCTGTGAGTTTGTTTCCCCCTGGGTTGCCCTCCGCTGATCCCTGCTGTCCTGGCGGCCTCTGAAGGTCTTCCTGAGGCTGTGGAGCTTGGGGATCAGGCGATGATTTGGGCAGAGATTGCATTAACACTGGGGGCTCGTTCATTCTGCTGTTCCTTTGCTTCTAGTGACCTGCCTTTCCCAATGTGTACCTGCTCTGCTGCCCTTGGCTCTGCGGGGAGGCTTGTGCCACCGCGGGGGAGGCTTGTGCCACCAGCCCCTGTGCTGACATCATCTGAGGGTTTTTGTTGGAACAACTGGATTTCTCCTGTGTCTTGAAATGGTGAGAGATGACTTGGTTTGTCAACACAGAGTTTTCTTGAAGTATAACATATAATTGTGTTCTCACTATTTCTAGGCAGTTAATTCTTTTGAAAATCAACAGCTGATCCAATTTGGCATCCAAGCTTATACTCCAAAGCCCAATGAATGATGCTGCACAGAGATTCCTGAGTGAAAGCGCTGGGCTTGTTTCATGGTGTTTTCTGTGCGTGCCCACGGGTGCATGAAATGCATCAGAACATTCCCAGAATCATGCACATCTTACAACAGGCTCCTTCTATCTTGGCAAAGCATGGCTTGTAACTTCTTAGATGAGGGAGGCTGAAAAATGTCCTATCACTTTGACTGTGTCACAAGATTATCAACAAATCCCAGAGCAAGAGGTTTAAGTGATTCTGTTACACTTGTTTTGATATTTAATGGAAAATGTATTTATTATACTTGTCAAATATATTTTTGGAAAGCATTCTTCTTGTGACACTGGAAGGTATTACCTTAAATAATAATGTCATCTGAGTAGGTTTGAAACAGTCAAGGGCCATGTGGGGCAGATTTTTAATAACACGTGATCTGAAAACATAAAATACACAGATAGTATTTCAATAAGACCACGGGATCAATACTGAATTTTACAGTAGAGTCACATTTCCTTCTAATTAACAAAAAGATTGGCTGTAAAACAGTGATTTACCACAGGAATTTAGGAATTGAGATTATTTTATGAAGTAGCTACACAGAAAATGTGTATTAAATCTTAAATGTCCACACTGCCCACACACTGCTATTGGCCCCGGTCCCCACTGGCACTCACCACTAGAGCAGAAGGGCCCCGTGTATGCAGACAGTTCACAGTCACAGGAGAAGCCCTGGTGCCTCTCGCGGCACTGCCCTCCATGGAGACACAAGTGTCCGTAGGTGCTGCAGTGCCCAGGGCACCCAGGCTCCACACCAGGCGTGACCTTGGCCCTTCCCTCCAGGTCCAGGGTCCTCCCGTTCACCTGCAGTGCCCGAATGCAGCCCAGGAAGCCTCTCTGCCTCGCGGCTGTGCCACCTGAAACAGAGGCACAGAGCACAGCCAGTGACCTCGCCCGGGGGCTTCATGGGATGTGTAAGCTTCGCAACTTTCAAAGGCTTTAGGAACAAACATAACTTTAGAAACATAAATTTGGGGAATCTCCAGGAACACTGAAAAATTATTCCTTTCTTGAGAAAAGTTGAGTTTGGTTCATTTTATTCTAAATAATTCCATCTTAATTAACCAAGGAATTATTCTTAAAGTAGTCTCATTAGAATGAAGGACAAAATTTAAGAAAACACCAATATTACAGCAATAACTGTAACGCGATGTAGTGTACATTGATACGATTAGCTGAAGTGTGAGAATTTTTTCACATCATTGAAAACAAGCTTCTGTGGATGTCTGACAAAGACAGAGTGACAAGGACTAGGTTTACTCTCCCACTTTAAAAACAACGTAAAAAGCAGCTAACCACACACAAAAAGCAATAGTTCTGGAGACGCTGCACATGAGATGCAAATGTCAAGGATCCCTGGGAGACAACGGGATAAAGATGGAAGCCACAGGCATCTGCCTGGAGGGGTTCCCAGGACAGGAGGGAGGTGGTGAGAGCCAGAGAGGCCAGCGGCACTCAGCATCTGAAAGAGGGGTGGGGAGCAGGGAGCTGGGGAGCAGAGGGGTGGGGAGCAGAGGGGTGGGGAGCAGGGAGCTGGGGAGCAGAGGGGTGGGGAGTAGAGGGGTGGGGAGCAGAGGGGTGGGGAGCACAGGGAGCTGGGGAGAGAGGGGTGGGGAGCAGAGGGCTGGGTGGAGAAGAGTCCGGGCATCTGGAAGAGTCCACACCAGCACTGAGCTTAGCACTGGCTGACATATTCCACAAGAAAAACATCAGGGGCCAGGGACAGAGGGACTCAGAAGTTTAAAGGGAGCAGCCTTGGGATGCACAGGGCCGTCTCCACAGCCACAGCAGCGATGAGCCACAGACTTCAGAGGCGTCTGGTATAGGACAGAACGAAGTTTTCTCTCAATAGTGAGAAACATTAATACTAAACTAATTGCTCTTCAGTCACACCTAAAAAAGCTTAAGAGCAAGACCACAAAAAACCAGGCTGTTTTTAAATACCTTCATTTCATTCCAGAAGATAGCTAAAAAATTTGCAAAGAAGTACACAAATATCTAACATCCAGCAAGGTAAATTCACAAGGCCTAGTATCTGATACAGACAGACAGGTGTATAAAGAAGCAGGGTTGAAAGGCAAGTCCTGGGGAGAAAAATCAACCGATTGACACTTATCTAGAAATGGCACCCATGATGGAATTCACAGAGACGAATATTTTAAAAAGCTATTATGACTAAGCTAGAGGAATAGTTGAACATTTAGAGACGTGAAAGATATTTCAAAGCCCAAATTGAACTTCCAGAGATAAAATCTATAATTTTTGAGAAGGAAAAACCACATCAAATGAGATTAAATATTAAACATTTCAGAAGAAAAGATTAGTGAACCTGAATACTTGGCAATGCAAAGTAGCCAGAATGAATCATGGGGGCCAACAGGCTGAAAACAGTAGCAGAAAAGTAGAGAGCGTCCATCAGATCTGGGGAGATTTTAAGCAGCCTAACGGATGCTAGTGGCAGGTCTCGAAAGGGGAGAAAAATATTATGGCTGAAAATTGTCTGAATTTGATTCAAGCTGTAAACCTACAGTCTATAAAACTCTCTGAAATGCAAACACAACAAACAGAAAGGAAATAAACTAAGGCCCATCACTAAAAGTTGCTTAAAAGTTCACATACATAAAAAATAATAAAATGAGCCAGAGACCAAACATCAAAGACAAGGACCACAGGAAAAGGGAAGCCAAAGCCAGGCCACTGGGCGGTGTCTGCAGAGGACGGGAAGGAAGCCGCTGCCCGCCATAGAATTCTTAACCATAAAGGCAGCTTCCAGAAGTGGACGTGAGAGAGGTTTTTTCAGATAACAAAATCCGAAAGAACTCCTCGCCCGCACATCTGCACCAGACAAATGCCACAGCAGAAGGAAGTGTTGCCCGATGGAGAGCTGGGTCTCCACACACGGTGTGGGTAAATCAGAAAAACATTTCTGCATTATCGTTAAAATATAGTGGACTATTTGAAAATATTCACATTGTCTTTTTTTTTTTTTTTGAGACAGAGTCTCACTCTGTCGCCCAGGCTGGAGTGCAGTGGCGCGATCTCGGCTCACTACAAGCTCTGCCTCCTGGGTTCACGCCATTCTCCCGCCTCAGCCTCCTGAGTAGCTGGAACAGGCGCCCGCCACCTCGTCTTGCTAATTTTTTGTATTTTTAGTAGAGATGGGGTTTCACTGTTTTAGCCAGGATGGTCTCTATCTCCTGACCTCATGATCCACCTGCCTTGGCCTCCCAAAGTGCTGGGATTACAGGGGTGAGTCACCACGCCGGGCCACAGTGTCTTCTAAAGCATATGTCATGTAGAATTATGATATCTGACAACAAAAGCACAAAGGCAAGGGGAGGAGATAAAAATGCACAATTCTAGGTTTCTGCTGCTGTCCATGGAGTGCTAACAGGTCACCTGAAGTTGGACTCTAATATGTTAAAGACGACTATACACCCAAAACAACCAGTAATCTCTCTCCCACACACACCTGAGCTACCACTAACAAGCCAGTGAAAGAGAGAAAATAGAATCCTATAAATTATTCCATCCAAACAAAAGCTGAAAAGGAAATAGAAAAGGAACAGATGGGACAAATGGAAGATAAATAGTAAGTTGATAGATTTAAACTGAGTCGTGTGAAAAATCTTATTAAATATAAGTATAAACACAAATGCAATTAAAAGACAGAACTAGATTGTTTAATAATACTCCACTAAATGTTGCCTAAACACTACCCACTTTAAATATAAAGAATAAAGAGGTTACAAGTAAACAAGCTGAAAAAGATACACCATGGTAGCACTAATTGAAATGAAGCTATAGTGGTTATAGTTATTTCAGAAAAAGTCCATTTCAGGCTGGGTGCAGTGGCTCATGCCTGTAATCCCAGCACTTTGAGAGACTGAGGTGGGTGGATTGCTTGAGCCCAGGAATTTGAGACCAGACTGGGCAACATGGCAAAACCCCATCTCTTCCAAAAATAGAAAAAAGCATTGGTGTGGTGGTGCATGCCTGTAGTCCCAGCTACTTGGGAGGCTGAGGCTGGAGGATCAATCCCTTGAGCCCAGGAGGTCAAGGCTGCAGTGAGAACAAGACCCCATCTCAAAGAAAAAAAAACAAAAAGAAAAGAAAAGAAAAAATCAATCTCATTTCAAATAAAGGAAATCCCTAGAAAATGTCCAAGTAGTTGGAAAATAAGCACAACACTCATAAAGAACACATGTGCCAAAGAAGAAATCAAAAGGAAAATTAAAAGTATTTTGAATTGAATGAAAATTAAAATACAATCTATGAATATTTGCAGGTTGCAACTATAGCAGTATTTAAGTGACAAGAGTTAGCAGTATAGGTCTATATTAATACAGAAGAAAGGCTTCCAATCAATTGCCTCACCTTCTAATTTAAGAAAATAGAAAAAGAAGAGCAATAAAACCTAAAGAAAACAGAAAAAAAAAATCAGAGTATTAATCAATGAACCAGAAAACATAAAAGTAGTAACCAATGAAACCAGAAGCTGGTTCTTTGGAAATACCAGTAAAATTAATAAATGTCTATCAAGACTGATAAGGTGAGAGGGAGGGAAGGAGAGAAGGAGTTGGAGAGAGTGAGCGAGTGAGCCGGCAGATTACAGGGCTCGTCAGTGGGGAAGGTGATAACACCCCAGTTTTAACCAATACCACTAAAGGAATGTGAACATTTTATGCCAATAAATTTGACAAGTTGGCAGAAATGGAAAAATTCCTTGAAAGACTCAAAACTACCAAAGTGCTATAAAGAATAAATACATAGCCAGAAAAGCTTTGTATCAATTAAAAAAATAAATTTATACTTGGAAACCTTCCCACCATTGAAACCAAGAACAGAGAGGGCGTTAGTGTTGAATTCTACCAGATATTTAAGGAAGAAATAATTCTAATTGTACACAAAATCTTCTAGAAAAAAATAAATAAGAGGGACTATCTCCCAACTTATTCTATGAGGGAGCATTACACTAATACCAAAACTAGATTGAGTATTAAAGGAAAAGAATATTACACAGACATTCCTCATGAAAACAATGCAAAAATTCTAAACAGAATTTTAGCAAATCAAATCCAACAATATATATCAGAAAAGGATAATTCAGGCTGGGTACGGTGGCTCACACCTGTAATTTGGGTGTGAGCATTTGGGGAGGTCAAGGTGGGTGGATCACCTGAGGTCAGGAGTTCGAGACCAGCCTGGCCACCATGGTGAAACCATCTCTACTGAAAATACAAAAATTAGCCAGGTGTGGTGTCACATGTCTGTAATCCCAGCTACTCGGGAGGCTGGGGCATGAGAATCGCTTGAACCTGGGAGGCGGAGGTCGCAGTGAGCTGAGATGGTGCCACTGCACTTTAGCCTGGGTGACAGAGCAAGACTCTGTCTAAAAATAAATAAATAAATAAATAAAATAAAATAAAAAATAAAACAGAATATGCATCATGAGATCAAGTAGGTTTTATCTTAGTAATGAAAGTATTTTTCCTTTTTTAAATCAATAATATCTCAATATAATTCACCATATTAATAAAATCATTTAAAAGTACAGACATCTGATTACAACAATCAGTGCAGAAAAAGCCTTTGATGGAATCCAGCGTCCACTCCTGATAAAGTCTCTTAGCCAGCTAAGAATAGAAGAGAGGCTCCTTAACCTGTGGTGAGGACGTTGCCAATATTACGGCACTGGTGAGAGGCTGAGACCTGTGAGGTCAGGCAAAAATTCTGTTCTGAGCACACCTGTGCAATTTGTACTGGAGATTCAAGCCAGTGCCATAGGCAAGAAAATATGGGAACAAAGCATCTGTCCTGGAAGGAAGAAGTAAAGCTGTCTTTATTTGTACATCCC